CTGTGGCGGAAATCGAAACAGAGAATTTTCATGAGCCCTTAAGATATGTGAAGGTTCTCGAAGCATTCCCGAATCTCGATCAGTATGATACTTTCCCCGGATGGATGAAATGCTGGACATATGCGCTATGGATTCTCTGGGAGAATATGCAGGATGGCGACGATATGAAGACGCAACATGCATTAATCGAAGAGGATGACCCGTGGCCGGATGTTTATATCGGGTGAACTGAGAGTATTAGAATTTTCAATAATCATTTATACTAAAAGCAATAATATATATAGGATTTTTGTAAAAAATTCTGATATACAATCTACTAAATAAATAAATATATATTATAACTTCATTAAAGATATAGTAAAAAAAAGTATCGTTAGCTTTAATATAATAGAAAACAACTAAAATCTTACAAATACATCAACTAAACTATTTAATTAGTTCCAATTTAACATTCTCACTAGAGATTCTGGCTATCTACAACATCAATTCTCAAGTTTGAAAAGTGAAGCTGCGATTTTTTTGCAATGTTTGCTCATTCTCCCACTCTGGTAGTCAAACCTAGCAGTAGTCTAGTCTTCTCTCTCTTCAACCAACCAATCTATGAAACATCGCTCAGGCAGTATTCTGTATCAAATCCATTCCCTAGTCGAAGACGATCCGACTGTCATGTTAAGATGGAACCTTTCTTTTCGGTAAAGGGCAAGGGCAGGAGTGGCGGACGGTCGTGGGAAGTAGTGTCGGTAGAATTGCCACCCAGGGCGTTGACGTTGGTGTTGGAGGCCGGTGGGGACAGGAATCGGAGGAGCGAGGAGGAAATGGTCTGTGAATATTATCTGTCAGCATGTATTTGACAGGCCTCGCAGGGAGAGCGTTTCAATCACATCTCGTGGTCTCTGTTTAGGAAGAAGAAGAAAAAAGAGATGGCTTCGATTGCCATGACATACCAGGTCAGATTCCCAAGTTTAAAGAGGAGATATCCATCCTCTTCATGTTCTTTTCAACCCCAACACGATTGAGTATCGTCTCATTGTTCCACTGTCGAGCAGATGAAGATCTCTGGAAAGCAGAACTGGAAATATGACCGGCATTTTCAATGATGAAATCAAATGGTGTTTAGGATGCAAACGCTGTCCTTGTAAATTTCATATCAGCTGCCATGATTCTAGGCCTGAAACCATTTGGAAAACAAACCTGGAACGTAGGAATGAAGGGCTGGGATAATTCACCGGTACTGTTCATATCTCAACCTGGCTGCCATGGTGAGAGTTTTGGTCCGACGTAAATGAGTTCTCAACAAGGAATGCACAAGTATGTAGTAAAATGAGGTTCGAACGGCGCGGATGAAAAAAAAGAAGGAAGAGAAAGCAGGTAGGGGTCGTTCTTATGGGGGTTAGGATTTGCGCAATTGTGAAGTCTCGGGGGAGGAAAGAAGCGAACGGGATTACATCTCGAAACGCCGTAGCTTAGATAGATCCAAGTAGGGATCTTCTTGGAGACTGGCTTTTTTCCTGGAGTCAGAAATCTCGTCAGTATGGGTTGCGAATATCCTCCGAGAGTGACGTGGGTTTTTCGAAGGATCCCCGTGCAACATGTACACTCCGGGCCTCCCGTAATCTGTCAAAGATCGAGATGACTCCTCTCGATGTCTCTCCTCTTTCAATAGACGGATATTCCTGCAATAAATTTGATCCACACACAAAGCATTTGGAGACTCAGGTTGGACGGAATGCCTCTCAAACCGTTTGCGGGGGTCCACCATTCTATGTTGTGCCGCAGCCTCCTCAGTCCAACCACAAAGATGAGAGTCCCAATGGGTGTCATTCGTGGCGAGACCTGGCCCCAGGTCTGTCCACACGGTGAGAGTGAGGCTCACATTCGTTTCTTCCATGGGTCGAATCTCAAACAGCCAACTTTTTTTGCATGCATCACAAGTCCCTTTGTCGGCAACATATGGGTGAGGGGCAGAACAATGACGGCGAATCAAAGATTCAAAATGCTCTTCGAATTTGGACGACTGAGTTGGAACATCCATGCAGACGTAAAATTGTGCGATATCGCAGTCCCACCACCTCATTTGTATGAAATATCTTTCTAGGTATTTTCGTGGGACTACCGCTATTCCTTGGGTCCGTATGTATAGACTCGGAGGCGTGGTGCAAATCCGACCCTCCACAGAGAATAGAGTCATCTTTAGATCTTTCCCGGTCTTTCCTTCCGATTTGTTTTCAGTCAGGTGCAGGAATAATCGCGAGCGTTCGGCTCTGATCTCGGTGTAGAGCAATCAATGACTCAACAGGGATTCCAAACTCGGGCCCATGATAAAATCTTCTCATGACAAGCTGCAAATGCGCGAAATGTAACTCGTGGAGGGAATCAGTCGGGTAGTGAGAGATAGCCAGAGGTTGTTGAAGGCGCAGATCGAGGGGACTCAAGCCATGTGTGTCGTGGGTGAACTTGACATTTTCCCATGTGAGCCGCTCGACCCTTTTCCAGAAATGGAGCTGAAGGCAGTCGAAGCATAGATAGTAGTTCGGTTGGTCGCGGGAAATTCGAGATAGCAAATCAACGCGTGCGTTATCCCGGGATCTATTGACAGGGGGGCGTGATTGCGGATTTAGACGAATTTCGTCGAAGCAATGGTGGTCTGGACTGGTATCGCGGTCTGGAGGGGTGCGGTAGGATTGAAAGTTCTCAAAAGCAGTATCAACAAAGGAAGACAGGAGTTGACGGTTTGTTAGGGCGAGACAAGCAATGTCTGCCGATGATAGATTCTCGGAAATCTTCCATAGCATTTCGAGAGGGAGGTCCGTCAAGCCTTTTGGCTTTCTTACGGCCGCCATCCTGATTGGCAAGGAAGTCATACTCAAAGGGTAAAGCTGACCACTTGTGTTTTGGCAATGGGAGAAGAATATTGAGTAGAAAAAGGAGAAGATAAGAGATAGATGGTGGGGAGAAGAGAGGTCCAAGTCAGACAAGAAGTACCACTGAAAGATGACGCTTGAAAATTGACGTTGGAATAAGTTTCTCCCGTGGCCACGATATCATGTCACATGGTTTATGAGGCCTCCATGAGGAAAGATGTATAAGCTGACTCGATTTTGGCCTGGTTAATGCCTCAACTTATGCGGGCAGTTCGACCTGGCCAGATGTACTTTCCTTCCGTTGATGTTCTTTAGTTTCTTGTTTCGTCAACAGTCAAGCCACTCCGCACTTTGAATCTCCGTCAAGATTTCGCCTCCGAGTTTGGATACCCTCGACCGAATTGAGCGTGGGTGCATTCATTGAGAGAATATATGGATTGATCATCGAATGAGGCCCAGCGAGATTCATACAAATACAAGAGGCTCTAACCTGTTGTCTAGAGATCTTCAACGCGTCCTGACTTTCTCACTGCAAAACATATACCATGGTATCTATCAATGTGATGCTCAACTACCACTGACCAATGTCGAGAACCTCATCTTTGATCGAAAACGTCCTTCAAGCCGGGCATATATTTCTGCGGGAGTCCATTCCAGAGTGATTTGGATTGATTCTCCATTCCAGCATTCAAGATGAAATATGATTCGCCCTACGCTGCAAATCGATCCAATGCCTTTTCTGCGCGGATCTTTTCTTCCGCCGAATGGAAATAAGGGGGCTCTTACCAAAACCGTTCGGCTGGTCTGTCTTTTGCGGTGCTAAATCATTCCCGAGATGAGGCTCCGTCAACAACTTGGAAATGAACGATGGAAATGCCGCATCTTTTGTTCGGCTCTACAACCTTTTTTCTATGCGTGGGGGGCTTTTAGGTCAATCCTGGGCCTACCGGTGTACAACCCGGGATCGAGTGCGCGTTTACCCGAAGGAAAAGATTCCAATCTTCCATATTTTGGGCATGTGGCTCTCTGTTCCTGCTCAAGCGCCACGCTAGGACATGAAATGCGCCTGCTCAAACTCCTGCAGCAATCCAACCCCCTTTCCGAAAGAATATTTACGCACATTTCCAAGGTCATATCGCTGCCACGCCAGGAGTTAAACTCTCCGCCCTATGAATTCAGCCACCTATGTGGCTCTGCCAGAAATCCCGACGTTCATGTTATTATCGACACGACCCGCTATATCAACTTTAGAATGAATCCAACATAATGACAAAGTTGATATTTGCCCGTGCGCAAGTATCATATTCCATCAAAAGCAACATTATGATCCATATTTTGAGTTTTTAAAAAGTGAATTTGAAACATTCAGATTATTGAAAATTATCGGGGCGGTGGTGGTTTATATATATCTGTATCGTTGAGTATCCCCTAGTAGAGATGTTGATCCAAACTTTGGCATATTTCAACAACTTGACGAAAATTTTCTAGGTCGAAAATCGCTCTATTTTCAAACCCATCGGAGAGGCACGCTCGTCAAGTCTGTTCCAAAACGTCACCTTCAAGCTCAGCAAATACGAAACCGAATCTTGGCTGAAGCGTGTTTTACATGAAGCTGGATCTGACTTTTTCATCGGAGATGCATACACAAACTGGTACCAATGTCATGGCTGGAAAATTGGGGAAGACCAATTGGGCGAGACTCTCAATATAACAACCCGTAGAGATTTAGAAGGCAATAGGAGGCCCTGCAAAGGATGGGAAGGCAATTGCTACACTCAGCAGATGGCCAATTGCTAGCCTGGGACTGTTTCTTTCGTTGACTTGTTTTGCTTCCTTTAAAATTACAATGTTATGGAAACCAGCAACTATCTGAGCCCTCCCAAATTGTGAACGTTTTTCGGCCCAGAAACTTGTGCCTTTTTGTATGGATGGAAATTTGGCAGAGTTGAGAAAGTGACCAAAAGGTCAATCACGCAATGTATTGAGCTATCTGCTCAGTCGGAGAAAAAGGGAGAAATAAAGAGACGAAGAAAGAGATAAGAAGAGAGGCAAAGAGAGAAACTGGGATCAGAGCGGTGGCATGTCTGTTTGCACTGTTTGGTACGTTGGTTTGGTCTACATCGGATCGAAAGTTATCCCGCCCCCCGGATGTTGTCGCAGTCGTGGAATTCTGGCCAATTGGAGCAAAGCTAGGGGTCCGTCAATCATGAATGAAAAGTCTGCTATATTATTACTAGCTGCTGCCCCTTTTAAAGCTGTACAGGGCAGTAATCATGTGACTTAGCTATGTAAAATACACAATGCAAAGTATGCAAACTATACAGGGTTCCACTTTTGGTCAATTCTGGATTCCGTCAGATGTTCCCTCTCAGCCCCTGAAGTTCGGACGGACCGCGGAGTACGGAATAGAGCCTTCTAAAGTTAGAGGTATACTTCCATTATGTTCAAGTGTCACCCGTGTATGTGATCAGTACTCAATACAATTAGTCCCGATGATGGAGCACAGCCCGGAGGGACACAAACTTGAAACATTGCAATGCCCTACACCACCGTGTAAGGTAAAGCTGACTCGTGGTATGGATGGCGAGCGACATACGAGTAGGCATTGAAAGCGTTCGAAGGTCGGAGCCGTTGTGGGCCTCGCCTGCAGGCACTGGAAGATCCCGGTCGATCGAATCGGGCTTACGAACGGCGAAGGAGTGACGGCTCTGGTTCGGCCATACGGCATACACACGTCTAGAAAGAGTGATTGTTGGACCAGCATAGACTTTCAATCATGGGAACAATCTGTCCCCGAGCCCAGGCCTATAATAGATGATCCTCCTAAAGTCTGCATACTCGATTATTCCCAGCTGGGCATAGTTGCGAACCATCTAAGGGTTTCCAAGACATAGGCAAAGGACACTGGCGGCAAAAGCGTCGCCTAGTTAAATCCAGGCACATGCTCACTCGCGATAGATTAGCTTATTTTGCTCATCGATCGCTGGATCTCCGTGACGACTTATCACAATTGGCTGCGCCCGCAGGGTCTGAGGGTACAGAACTGTTCCAGGACCAACTCTTCACCATTCTGAAAAGAACGATTTCATCTTTGGCCGTGATATCTTGTAGCTAGCAAGGATCTATCGAAATAAAATTCACCGTTCAATTGTTATTTCATCAGCACAATAGCGCAAATGTTGGTCTGTTATGAGTTTCGCGACTTGTGCAATCACGTCATTCGGGCCAAACAATCCTCATCGCAGACGTGATAATGCAAACTTTATTGTTCGATCGCAAATTCATTCAAATAGATTTTAACATAGATTCTTTTCCTTGTTGTCCTCTAAGCTATGTCACATTCTCCCGGGGAGCTGAAGGGCATCGCCATTGCAGGGCGAGTCTCCTCGGTTCTCTCTATTCTAGGTTCATTCACAATAATAGGAGCTTTTGCTCTGTCCCGGCACTTTCGGAGTCCCATTCACCGAATTATCTTTTACAATGCCTTTTATAATCTTTTTGACTCCGTCGCTACTATGATTTCCACCAGTGGACCGGCCGCAGGCGAACTTTCATCTTTATGTCAGTTTCAAGGTTTTGCGCTGCAAATGTATGTTCGTTCGTACAGTTTTAAAATGTCTAAATATGAATTACGACAACAAATACTGACTGATCAGGTTTCCCGTAGCTGATGTGCTCTGGACATTCGCAATGGCCCTGGACACATATCTGGTGGTCTTCCACCATTTTGATACCCAATCTTTGCGCAAGCTCGAGATCAAGTACACCGGTGTAATTACCACACTCTCATTCATTCCTGCCTTTGTTTTCCTTTTCATCCGTGGTCGGGAAAAGGGCCCTATCTATGGCGATGAGACCGTGCGTTTTCGACCTCCATCTTGCATTAACCATTTCAGAGGCTGACCTGGAATAAACAACAGATATGGTGCTCTGTGTCTCGCAAATGGATGATCCTACGGATTATCTTTTATTATGCACCAGTATGGTCTGTATATGTCCTCCTATCTATTAGGATATTTTTCCTAACTACCAGACAACAGGTTCATAATAGTGGTGGTCTTAATATTATACACGCTTATCGGCATCGAAATTACAAGAGTCCGCGACGAGTTCAAACTGACCGATGACGATCATATTGCATTGACCTCTGGAAATTCAGCCAGCAGTATCACGACAACAATTGAAGCCAGATCTCAGGGGACTCAGTCAGTCGATCCTGAATCTATACCGACACCTCCATCTGCATTCAAAGCATCTTTGGCGGCCCATCAGGTCCAAAAGCAGAGACGTGTCTCCTTGAGACAATATGTTATTATGCCGTCGCTGTTCTTTCTCGCGATGCTGACCACTTGGATCGCACCCACCATCAACCGTATCTCAGAGTTTGTCCATCACCGACACGGAACATTTGCACTTTTGGTCTCTGTGAGTACTTTGGGGTCCCTTAGGGGGTTTTGGAACGGTGTCATATTCGTCACTATTGGCATGAAAGGTTTGAAAAGGCGAGCCTCTGAAAGAAGGATAGCTTTAAGACAGGTGAGTTCACTTCTGTCACTTTTCTTCTCGGTTTTGAAAGCTGTTCAAATCTTAACTAAAAACTACAGACGTTATAGATGATTAATATTACATGGTGTCTCTACTATGTTTATCCAAATAATACCGTTACCGTTTACATTAACAGCCCTGGATTGATATCCTAGGTACCTACCTCGCATGAATCATCAATCTGAAGGTCTGATGACTCACAACCGAGAGAAGTAATGCGGCGTTGCCTGATAAAGATCCTGGCCTTTTGCAAGCAGTAGATTTAGGAGAGCTCCAAAGTAGGAGGCTCTAAAGAAGATTGGCTACGATTTGCCAGAAGTGAACAAGGGTTATGACTGTCTGCACAGATGATGTTAGCCATTCAAGGCCTTAGTCACACGCACAAATAATTTGGATAAAATATTGCTTACGGATCCGTGGGCTCGTGACCAAAGTTGTCTTTTCATGAGGCCTTAGTAAGATTCTACTATAAAAATAGGGGAATAGTGCTGCCACACCCCCATTGCTTAGATCCACCCCCCTTTGTGTTGCTTCCACCCCCCCCTTGACCCTTTTGGACTAGCGCCATTATTCTGCCAGTTTTACTTTTGCATACAGAACTACACCATTCGACTGCCAATTTGATACTGAGTATTACCCTCATGTATTGAATGAGCCACGTCGACGCCCTGGGCCCCTCGGCTCTTCCCATGATGATGGATCTAGGTGTACAGAACGCTCATGCGCAGTTAATCGAGGCTTGGGAGGATGGTGGGAGGGTTGAAAGTGAGGTTTGAAAGTATGGGAAGTGTGAGAAGACCTGGCAGTGGAAGGGATTCATGACCACCTATGTGATTCTACAGTAGTGACTTCTTTTTACTAAGGATTTACATACAAATCGAGGTACCATGGGTGTTGACCTTTTGTCAAGCGGGAAACCGAGTATAAAAAGCAAAGGCGGTGTAGAGGGGGGAGGGTGAGAGGGCGCTCTTCGATCCACAAAACTTTCACCAATCCCGGTCGTCGATTCGTCGATATAGTGCTCCCGGCACCCGCCGAGCTGCACCTCGCCCCTGATCCTCGCGGGCTAGGAAAATTCCGGCAAACACTCCGGAATCTCACCCTTGACGGCAGGCAACGAATACTCGATGAAAATTACAATGAGATCAACGAATTTTGTGAACTCTGGAATTGGTGGTCTTGCTAAAAATAATTGAGGGGGGAGCGGAGGTTTCTGGAAAGGCTCTTGCCGGTGTAAAATGGCAGAAAATCCTCTGTCAGAGGGCTGGGAGACACTACACTAGTCCAAAAGGGTCAAAGGGGGGGTGGAAGCAACACAAAGGGGGGTGGATCTAAGCAATGGGGGTGTGGCAGCTCTATTCCCCTAAAAATATCCTAGTTAGTAGTCCTCATCTTTCCCTTTCTATACAAATTGTCGGGGGTTCGGAAGCAGCCGACTTCAATATCATACCTAGCTCGCGACATAATTAAGATGGAAGAAATTACCATGAAGCATTTGAGAGGACACCTCCTTAGATACCATGAGATATCAATCATCTCTAGCAAGAGAAACAATGCGTGGCTACATGATGTATCCTGAGAGACAAAGAGACAAAGGGAGAAAGTGGAGATGGGGGTGGCTTCTGTTTCTCTTCTTAACTCCTCTCGCTCTTTCTGCTCTCCCTATCTAGCCTCGTCTTGTCTAGATGAAAATAAGACGGCGAATGTAGTTTCTTCATCAAAATATGTCAGATAAGTTCGCAGGGTCGTAGTCAGATGCGCACCTCTTTGGTCCTTTGCCTTCCGTGGCTCTTCTCTCCTTCGCACACGATACTCGAAACAACACAATATCTTGATCTTCATTTATCTGCTCCAGTCAGCTCTCAAGTCGTGATATGCAAAACCATCGTACTGTTACCTGAATCCTAAGCATCATAATCTCAACGTGTAAGGCTGGATTGGTCGAAGGAGGCGATACCCGAGGGCCGGGAATTCTGTGATATCTTTGTCTCCAGGCCAAAGAGCCATCTTTCTCTGTTTCTTTCTCGTCGAATCCGGTTTCTCCGGGCTGGTTGTAAAGTGCAAAAACTTATAGAGAATAAGTCTACAGGGAGAAGAATGATGATGTAGATGATATTCTCTCATCAAAAAGGACGGGGAAAGAAAGGAGAGAGAGAGAGAGAGAGAGAGAGAGAGAGAGAAAGAAGCCTCTATCTATACTATCAAACAAGCCCTGTCATCCCATAACAGGGTCCGCTGACCAGGCAGACCTGACAAAAGCTCCCAGGACATCGCATCTTTGGTCAGCATTCTTGAACTAACAGATCATAGTGGTGTTCAATCTCATACCCGACGATGAAAGTTCATCCTGGAAATGGGGCAGAGCATTGCCATGATCTCTTCGAGGACGGTATTAGTCCTCCCGCTCGTTGTCGGAATAGTCGCCGTCATCATTCCCTCACAAAGGTAAAAGAGGAACTGGACTACTATCATATAAAAGATGGTGTAGGCATGGCATGCCACGTGGGTATTCTCCCGGCATTTCCTCGCATCCTTGACACTGAATGTCAGGTGCCAATCCAAAGGGCCTTTCTCAACTCTCCTGTTGATTGTGGTGGTATTATGCCGAACACCCACTGAGTGGCCTTTCTCCCAGACAGCAATCGCATCACGTTGTCCTCAGTGATATGACTTTGGACGTTTTCTCTGCGGATGCGAACGGACCTGTACGTGAAATGAAGTCAGTATTCTTGAACATGAGATATCAGCGCTTTTCAAGCCAGTTCTCACCTGATCAGGATTTCCACCGGCTGAATGCCCTCAGAGAAAGTGGCACAAAGCACCAAAGCAACCATGTTTTGTAGGTCCTCTACACTGCGCGGCATGAACCACTTGTGAGTGTAAGTCTTCACCCTATCAATGGTTGACATGATGGATGAAGAGGGAGTGGATATATATGTGGCGTCGTGCAAATGTATGCTTTGGAATGAAAAAAGCAACAAGGATGTGTTGAGATGAGCCCATCTCTGTCGTTCAGACCGTCAGATGTAGATAGATGCATGTTTGTCATCTGCCTTTCTCATTTTTTCTCCTTCTCTCCAGTCTCAGTCTGGCAGTATTGCAACCAGTACAGTTGTGTTTCATCCTGTGTTCTCGATGGGTTCTGAGTGAGAAGTGAGAAAAACTGCATTTTTCCAGACCGGAGAGGGTTTGGGGAACATCAGCAACCAACACCGGAACTGAAGTGGAAAGAGCAACCACCGAGGTAAGACCCCACAACCATCCCAACGACGCAAAAGGATGTCAAAAGCGATCGAAGTTTGCCAGCATCGACGAGGGAGTATCTATATAAAGGATGCAAAAGCCGAGATCTAACCCTGGCCAACACATCGCCATGATCATCACGAAATAGAAAAATTTCTCAGATCTGAGTTCGTCATTCACGATACGCCAGCATGTCAACCATGAAGAGAGGCGGGAGCACCCACACTGACCCTTGCGAAGGGCTCGATCACAGATTTAACAACAACCACACCGGCGATTGCGGACGGTTACTGGAACCGAACATTTGAATCACATTTTGTTAAAGGCCAATATCCCATCCACAGTCTTTGGCTCTTCATTCAACGAAACGCAAACAGCCTGACTATAAAATCTTGGATACCACTTGCGTCTACGGATACCATTGACCCCACAAACAACCGCCATACTTCCGATATGCGTCTGGGCTGGATTCATGGAATGGCGGTACAGCTGAAATTTTGGGATTTTTATCTACTCGCTGGGGTCAGGGCGACACAGACAAACAAGCCCGCGGGCGTCGGGTTCAAGCATTGATAAGATCAAGGATTGTTTGCAATTTTTGCAATATTTCCCCACTCTAGATATCAACCTCGTAGCTTAGCTCTCTCTCTCTCTCTCTCTCTCTCTCTCTCTCTCTTCTAACCAATCAACACACGGTCTAAGCAGTGATCTATTCCAAGAGCCCTCCCCCGCTGAAGTGGTTATGAGTCCTTTTGCGTACCAGCTGCCGAAGATCACGCGATTTTGAAGCTATTCACATCCTCACTTCTGATTCAGAATCACACTGTTCACTTCCCCGGTCACGGTTCACCGGGTTCTTGACGCGCGACGCGTTTACTCTCTCACTTGCCTCTCACCCCCCACTCCTACTTCTTAACCTTCACTTCTGCTACATCATCGCCGTCATGTCAGCCAAGTCTTCAATCACGATTGGAGAGCTAGTCCCCAAGTTGAAGGGTTCTTCTAACTGGAGAACTTGGTACGAACGGATGAAAGGCTACATGCTCACTCACGATAAGAACGTCTGGAAAGTCTTTACCGGTGATCTCACTCGCCCTGAGGATGTCGACGAATCGAACGAGGAAGAAGTCGTTGCCGCCGTGGTCAAGCTACAGGAGGAGTGCGATAAGAAGTCAGCTCTACGAGCGGCTACCGCCCTTCTAACAGGAAAGCCCGACGTATCTCACGCCAAGATAAAAGTCAATAACGATATTCTCTTCGGAACAATCGAGCGAACTCAGACCGAATGGGATCTCCTCGACCTGACCGCCATCACTTACGTCCAGGCAACGGTGACAGCGGGTATGGCTGTTTACATCTTGCCGGGTGCTAGCGCAAAGCAAGTGCACGATCGACTTAAGAAGGTCTGCGGCACACCTTCCTCGGAGGAAGCTGCCCAACATTTCCACAAATTGGTTCAATACGTCTACAAAGGGTCCAAACCGAAGGTATTCATTCAGAAGTGGCGTCAATATCTTCAAGACTTCCGCGAGACTTTCCCTGAGGATGAGAAGATTAGCTATTTCATGGACTTCCAGTTCCTACACGAAGCTATTTCCGGCGTCAAAGAATGCGATGCCTTCCTCACCACGTATAGACGCGATCCGAAGGAGTCGTGGGAGCAGAACTTCGAAACGTTCACTTCCGCATTCATCGCGTACGAACTCCGTCGACTGAGTCGAAACGCCAGTGCCCCAATTCAGCAGCCTGCTGCAAATTCTGCTACTACCAACACTGGCGGCGGCAAGAAAAAGAAGGCCCTTCCCCGCTGAAGAAGGATCATCCAGGATCCAATCGGGGGAGCTGGATGTACTGGATGGTGTTTGAAAATTGGTATTTGTTTACTTTCAGGGCTAGTGTGGTGGCAGGTACGCAGGTCTAAAGGCACCAGTGTCGTCTTTGCGTTTTGAGAAGATCTACTTCCTATTTTGGGTTGGGTCTAGACCACCGGATACGCCGCCCACTATAGTGTATTGTAAGGAGCAAAGTCATCAAGCTATTCGTCCCCATGCAAACGCCCATATCACCACATCGTTGGGCTTCGAAAACCCAATAGGGCCCGCCCAGACGAGAACCCCAGTATTGAGGCTATTCTTAGTTTTCTGCCGTTCGAAATTCAGGCATTCGTGGATACCTCAGGCCAAAATTGTGCCTGAATCATTGAAAGCGACCTGTGTAGTCTGCCCTCTTTGTCTCTTTCTCTCCTTCTCTCCCCACCAATCTCATTAAGCAGAACCTATCTTCATACGATGCGAGAATTCTCACTTCATATTCCATTCTTTGATTATTTTTTTACTCATTTGGTCGGTTGAAGGCCATCCTGGGATTTCTTCATCCAATAGATCGAGTACCTCGGCCTATCCAACCATTCACAAATCTGTCCAACAAGATTGACGCCAGCGAGAGTGAGTCGAGTTTGCGTCAATATCACTGCATGACCGATCCTGCGCTGGATAACACGCAACCCCTGCAAATGCCCAAGTACTTATAATTACAGTGTTGCTCAACTGATTTCTATCTAGGCAATAAAATCTTGGGTCAAACCACTCTCCTTTCCGACAAACGCCTTTCATGTCCACCCACATGTCCCCGAAAGTGAGTGAAATCAGCCAAGATGCAACTGGGACCAGCGAGTCTCGACCATTGACAACGGAGCCTGGCAAGCCTCAGTACAGTCTCATTGAATTTGTTAAAGACATGGACAGATACTGTCCCGGAGGATATCATCCGTTGAAGATCGGGGATGTCCTAGCTGACGGGCGATACCGACTCGTTGACAAGCTTGGATACGGAGGATACTCAACTGTATGGCTGGCCCGGGATATACGAGAGGCCAGATACGTGGCAGTGAAGGTCATTACTGCCGATGGTAGTTTGTGCTCACCCGAGGCAAGTCTTATAGCCTCCCTTGGGAAGTTACCATCTACACCGGGTGCTGAATTCATTCCGCCACTACTCGACGAATTCTGGGTTACCGGCCCCAATGGGGAGCATAAATGCAATGTCACCCATCCTGCACAGATGAGCCTGCTTGCTGCTAGAGACGATTCGATTTTTCATGTTTTCCCGCCCAAGGTTGCGCACTCGATCATCGCCCAGCTCATTCGCGGCGTGGCCTTCCTCCACAGTAACAACATTGTACACGGCGGTATGTCAAGATCATACCAAAAATCCAATTTATGGCCTAGCTGACGTCAAACCGTTCCAAGACCTGCATCTTGGCATCTTTTCTCCTTATCAGAACTATATGAGAAATTTGGAGAGCCGGAGTCAGAGCCCGTTGTTCGACTCGATGGCAAGCCATTATCAGACGGCGTACCGGACCATGCATTTACATCGGGCTGGTATGGCGTTAGCGGTGAGGAAATTACACATGGAAATGAAAGGATTTTCCTTAGCGACTTTGGGGAGTCATTCAACCCTCACACAACGCCAAGGTATTCGTCGAACACCCTTCCTCTCCTTCAGCCTCCCGAGGCCCGATTCTCCGATGAACCTCTTTCTTTCTCCTCGGATATTTGGACACTTGCCTGTACCATTTGGGAGATTTTTGGCCAGCGACCTCTGTTTGAAGCTTTCTTCGCAAGCGCCGATCGTGTCACCGCGGCGCAAGTCGAAGCGCTTGGTATCTTACCTACGGAGTGGTGGAAAAAATGGGAGAAAAGAGATCAATGGTTCAACGAAGAGGGGGAGTTCGGTGGGACAGCTAGGGGCCCTGATAATGTGTGCTGGGCTTGGGACATGAGGTTTGAATTCAGCATACAGAAGCCTCGGGCTGAGGCGGGCTTCGAGATCCCGACGGAAGAGGAAAGGGCAGCATTTGAGGCGATGCTTCGCTCAATGCTGAAGTTCCGACCCGAAGAGAGAGCAACTGCACCTGAGGTATTAAACTCGGAATGGATGAAAGGCTGGGGTCAACCAGCCCTCGAAGAAAGCTGGAGTTATGATAGTTCCGCCCAGGATAGTGGATAAGTGTCCGGTGACAAGCTTATTTTGTCCATTTCGAATGACATGCTATGGGGTTTGATGCCGAAAATAATTCTTTTTTGACAATGCTTCGCCGTTTCACCATTTCCTGATGGAATAAAGCACTAATGCGCTTGCTTCTGGGAGCCTCAACATTCATTTTCACCTTCTCTTACGGGTTTTTTGTAGTTTCAAAAGACTATTGCGGACTTCGGTTTATATTGCCCAAGAAGGTATGGCAATCAAGAAATACCTTGAATTGTGATAAAGTTGATATAGCCTAATACTGGGTTAATGGAATCGGGAGTGGAGGAGCTGAAGAGCGGTGATCCGGGTCCATAATGAAAATGCTTCAACTGCGAGGTGGGGACAGGAGGGCTGGAAAGAAATTCGGAGCATAGGAGAGGCTCTATTTACAGCCACGCACGGGTGAAGTCTGATCCCGCTCGGACGGCACCTCACTACTACTACTACCGTGTATAAGCCACGCGTCGCTAAATATTGTTTGATTTTTACACTCTGTATATTTCCTTTGAGCCCTAATTCCAGCACATACGACCACAGGGTGTGGAGAACAGGGCTTCCCGTCCGCTCAGCCGTACTTAAGCCACACGCCGGTGAGTTAGTAGTTGGGTGGGTGACCACCAGCGAATCCTCACTGTTGTATGTTTTTGTTTTTTGGTCATGTTTTTCGCGATCATCCGGTGCCAATGATTAGTGTTTTGACAATGTCAGTCAGTGGTTATCGACTGCCATGTCTGACTGTCTTCGGGTCATCTGCCTTTAGACTAACATACCGACTAGGTTACTGAGGATTATAGAGTATCTCATACTATTGATTTTCCCATCACCATTTGTAATTTATGACCCCCCAGGATCTGTGGCTGAAGTCACAGGTGTGATTGGGCCTAAAAGTGCCCAATTATCCATGGATCTTACTCTGCAGAAGGGGCAGAAAGATACAGAATAAGGAAGGATGGTCGATAAGAAAAAGCCTCCGACAATTAATCCCTGGAGGCGCTGTTAAAAAGAGGAAATAGTGGATAGTGTAGTGATGGAATGATGGGTACCACTTGCAAGACCTCTGTCACTTCATCATGGCTTTTTCTTCTAAACTGCTAATTTTTGTCAACGTTCGAACAATGTAGCCCTGGAGGCTTGGAAGTTTTGAATTGCTTCCGCTGTTTACACTTGATGGAAAATTGTTCGACGTGATTTTTTGTTGAAATTCTTTCAACGCATGTATCTTTATTCAAGTAAAAGGGATTTAAGTCGAGGAATCCAGCCTCTTTGGTGGAAACATCATCTTTATCCTTATCCAAAGATAGCAATACCCTCAAAGAAACAATGATTATTTCTTAGAGACAATATGTCTTTATTTCGATCTTTGAAACTTCACCGAAGCCCTGGAGGATCTTCATACTAGCTCCTTTCCATGGTCTCTCGTTCGGCGAGTATGAAGTTGTGGAGAAGTCATTGTTAGAACAATGGGTTTGTGTGTTGCCTTTATTCTATCAGTTCGATAATCAATGGCTTTGTTGTGAACAATGCTTGATATGAGCCTTTCAAGCATACCGGTGTGAAGATGTCGGGTATGGGGGTATAAATACTCCTGCCTTCCTCAAGATCAACTGCACCAATCATCTGATAACCAAAAAGCCAACTGCATCCACTCATCTACTTCTATATACCACAAAAACTACCATCTTAACCATTAACCAACATGTCATCCAACCGAACCTGTCGCTGTACTGGGCGCTACTGCACATGCGGCGCAAGTAGAAACAACAGGGATGTACCATCGGGGAGCAGGCCAACTGCCACCCGTCCAACATCTTCACGAACGGGAACAACAAGAGCACCAGAATTATGGTCCCGGGAATCAAGTACGTCAGCAAGACAATCTGGATCATCATCGCGATCCCGAGCACAAGACCCGCTAACAACAGGGTTGGCAGGGTTAGCACTATCAGTAGCATCATCACCACGATCCCCGGCACAAAGTCGTTCATCAGGAGCAACATCGGCATCAGCATCACGGACCCGGCCACCATACATGCCGCATCTTCCCACTATCTTCACCCAACAGCGCCAGGATCTTCAATCCCAGCTACGGATTCTTTCCCAACACATTTTCCGAGCGGACCTTAATGCCATCCTCGATCAAATCGAGATTATTCACAGTACATTGGTGAGCCTCGAAGATACTGTAGAAAACATGCTCCGTACTGATACGAGAGAAGATGTCTCCAGAATCGGACCTGCGTGGTTCTTCTACGAGGTAACACCGCGTAATGGCGCTCGCCCAATGAGTGAATTTAACTGGGCTCGTGGGTACACGATGAACATGTTGCAACTGCTGATCAGGCAATTACGTACCGGTCCGTTGCCCTCTAATACCCATCGAAGCATTGATACGCTATCTAACCTCTGGGACATCCAGCGGGCATTCCCCAGAAATCTTGCTGACACTACCACTGCGCTTGATTTCACTATCAGAGGATTACATCGGGAGCCGGCCCGTGGTTACAGGTAGAGAAGAAACCGTCAGGTCACGATGTAAGTTCGTTCTGTCAGCTGGATACTAATTGAAAACAGAAAAGGAGCCGCACAAAAGCCCCACCAAAAAAAAAAAAAATTAAATTAAAATAGACAAAGACAAAAAATATATGAAATTGTTGTAATTGCATATTCAACTGCCATAGAACTCCCTATAAAGTGCCTCTGTACAGAGTAGAATAGAGTAGTATGCCGCCCGCGGGCGCTGAACTTTCGTAGATAATCGACCATACTTGGACGGCATGTGTGGTTTAGAACCACGCAGGAGAACGCAGAAATCTAAGTGCGCTAAGCCAAAAGGCTCATTTAGCCGAATAACGTCAAGCTCAATATCCAATATCCGATATGGTGTAATCCAGGGGGGGGCAGCGGAAAGGCCAGGGTTGCGCGCAGTCTTGTGGGAAAAATCGTGGGAATTCCTTATAGGCGTTTTATAGATCTGATCAAAACTAGCGCTGTATATTGAACTGGATTTAGCGGATAAACGTGCTCATCTTACTGTATTTCTATTACAAGCCTAGTAGCTTTATTAAAGGCTAAAATCAATTAAATACGAAATTTAGACTTATGTTAAACTAAATACATATATTCCGCATCATATGTCATCGCAAAAGGAACTTTAGAAGCACCAACCATGCCCCCATTATTTTGATCTACCAGCCATCTAGCGGGGTAAATCTTGCCATCACGCCATCGCTGGGTACCATCGTCGTCGCCTCGGTGATTTGAAGCTCGGCGTCGGGGCACTGTAGCTCCATATGAAAGCGTCCAGTTATCGAAGCAACCAGAAAAGCAAGCTCCGCCTTAGCAAACCCTTGCGCAATGCAGCTGCGAGGCCCATGGAGGAATGTCATGAAAGATTGATTAGAAAACGTATTATCCTCGGTTGGAGTTCCCGAAGCCATAAAACGGTCCGGATTGAAATCACTAGCGTTAGATCCCCACAGCTCAGGCATGCGATTCATAATCCGAGGGGAGATTACAACATGGCTGCCCTTGGGAATGAACTCGCCAGCGATTGACGTGTCGCGAACAGCTCTTCGGGCTATCTTGGGAATCGGTGGGTAAAATCTGAGTACTTCACTGCAGAAAGCATTCAGATAAGGGAGATTCTTGAGGCTTAGGTCGTGATTTTGAGTGGGTTCCGCTGAAAGGGGCGGAAGATTGGCCCGAATTTCTTCCCGCAACCTCAATTGAATATCTTGATGCTTGCAAAGGGCGTACACCGACCACTGAAAAGCTGAGGACACCGTCTCATGCCCAGCGCTGAGGAAATTCATGGCTTGATCAACAAGACCTTCATCGGAGAAGCTACCGTTGTGCATAGCCACTGAAAGTATATTTTGCGGTTCTTCGAGCGACGATTTGTTGGTCTTACCTTGCTCAATCACAGATCTCGCCGCATCACGAACAATTTGGCGGGCCTCATTGATCTCCCGGTTGCGCTTGGTTGGAAATTTGTAGATGAGTTTCGGGCAGGAGAGAGCGACGCACAGAACGATAAGCAACTTCTCACTCGCTGAGGGCATTGCCAGCTTGTGGTATGCTTGAGTGAGTGCATTCCCAGGGGTTTCCAAAGAGCGGAATTCGACTCCCATTCCTGCTTTCCCGATGATATCAAGGGTCACACGATCAGACCATTCGCTTATTTGGATGGAGTTATTGGATGTATCTCTGCTTGAGAGATGTTTATCAATCATCTTGGCCATTTGTACTCCTTTTGACCAGAACACAGATCGAAGATTTTGGATTTGACGGGACGAGAACGCAGGAAGAAGAATCTTGCGCTGAGCCTATTGAATCCATGTTAACCCAAAAAAACCAATAAAGATTTGTAGGGGGTCCGGTGTACTTTATGCACATCTCCTTTCGCGAGCACAAGGCCGTCTCCAATGTTCTGCTTCAACACATGTTCAATGAATTCTGGTTTCTCAAAGTCATAACTCTTTTTGACAAGAATTTCCATCAGCGCCTCAACATTAGTGGGGAATAGCCATTCAAAATTCCCAACAATGTAGAGACGGATTAGGCCTTTATTTGGAACAGTCCTTATCCAGTGTTGCATCATCCCATCTTGCAGCTCAATAAAATAGGACTTCATGTTGCCAGTCAACCAGTGTCGAATCTAGAACGTTGTTAATAACAACCACTAGACCTAAAAGCAAAACATTAACATACCTTTGGGGTTGGTACATGTTTCAACGGCGTGAGGAATCGTGGATATAGAAAGAGTCGAAGAACTAACTCCGATAAAGCCCATGCTGCACACAAGACAAAACAAGTCAAAGCATTAACGCAGACTATATCATGCCTTAATCTGAGGTAGACCGCGTATATAACAATGACAATGAAAAACTTGAAGTGATGGCTTGTCAACATAGTAGTGCCGTCAATTTCGAGTCTGAATTAAATGGGGCCCGCAGGTTAGCAACAGAATTGCTTGGATTACCACAAGAACGGACGAACTGTGATGAAGAATGATCGAGCTCGCAAAATGCGGCAACTGAATGCCCAGTTAAAAAAAATCATAACAATGGGTCTGTAATTTTACATGTGCCAAGCTCTGGATTGTGTATGTATCTAGTACCCACTCATGAAAAATAGTGACTTAGTAGTGTGCCTTTCAAGCGTGAGAAATTTCATCAAAATCGATGATCTGCAAGACTCATACGTATACCGCCGTCATCATGTCTCAGCCGTATCACGGATTACTCGTGATTTAGGACCTACAAGGCTAGGATTGGAGCAATGTCACTGTAACTTCAATAGTTTACCGCCGCAGTATGCAAAAATCCTTAGAGGCTTACCGCGAACTCGCTTAAAGATCTTGTTTTACACTAATTAGGTAAGGATCTGCGATTTCCACTTAATTTCCCCTTTTGCGGATTCAGCTTCCCCCATATTTTGGATGCGCAAGATGGCTGGCTGCGTAGTGGAAATTGAGCCCACCAATACCTATATGTATGGAGTACGATTACATACCTTCGCGGCTTGCGGATAATCTTGCATGCATAGTCCACGTGAATCCTCTTGGAACGTACTATGTACTTGTGTTTTTGAAGGAATCGAACTCTTCTCACTACAGCCCTCATAGAAAGTATAAATACTCCGTTGTATTTCAGAAATGGAGCCGATTAGAGCCCGGGAAACAAAGTTCTCACTCTGTAAATATACATTCGGACGAAAATTGCATTTATAATTATTGGAACTTCAGTCATGTGACATCCCGTATAGGGCAGATACTGCTATAGATGTAGTACATAGTAGACTACGAGTAGCTTTAGATTCTTCCTTTCCTCATGCATTTGATCTTTCTCGATTCTCGTACGAGTATTGAAACGCAAAAAATACTCGTATACACCAAGTTCGCGGATAAATTCATACGATAGAGTATCTTCATGCTAACCTTTTATGGCGTAGGACCCATCCGCATAAGCAAGATCTATCTCGTACATATCGACTTTCTATGATCCACACTCGTAGATCCTTCCTAGATCGATCCTCTGTTTCAATAATCTCCAGTGTTTGTTGTGGAAACATAAAATGTGGATCGTTCGATCTGCCGAAATTGTACCGTACAGAGTAGTACTAGTAGATCTGCCATTGAAATCCGAGAAGACAAGCGACTTTTTTTTGCAAAGTCGCCGCTGGAAATGATACATCACCTTGCATGACCCTGGCTTGAACAATATTCAGAGTCTTCTGTATTCTTATTTCTTTGCTCTATCAACAAATCTTCCTCGTCATGGCTCTACTCATATTCATGATTATTGCTCTGATAATTTACTATCTCTACACCCAAACACGACATACTGACAAAGTAACCGGAGTACCATCTCCCCCCGGTTTGCCTCTAATCGGAAATACTCTACAACTGTCGTCTCAACCACACCGTCAATTTCTGAAGTGGGCCCGCCAGTATGGTGAGATATACCGCGTTCGCTTGGGGCTGATGGACTGGTTCATGCTCAATTCCCCCGAAGCGATTAAAGAGATACTTGACAAGCAGTCCGGCCTGACTTCGTCGAGACCCCCAATGCCTGTTGTTTCCGATGCTTTATCCGGTGGCATGCGGTTTCTTTTTATGCCCTACGGCAAAGAATGGCGACGTTCACGGGCCATCAGCCACAGATTGTTGACGCCTCGGATGGCAGAAACATTTCAGCCCTCCCAGGAATTTGAAGCCAAGCAATTAATGCATGACTTGTTGACACAAAATGCCAGCATGTCCGAGTTCTATATGCATATACGACGATATACTGTATCTGTGCTTATGACTTCAACCTATGGGAAAAGGATACCGCAATGGGTATGTCGAAATCAACCTAATTTATAAAACAGGGCTAAATATCATGAGTAGGAGTGTGATGAAGTACAGGGCATATACCGTATTCTCAAAGACTTCTCTTATGTATCTACCCCGGGACGTTACATCGCCGACGGCGCACCCGGATTAGCCAAACTGCTTCCAGACCAATTGCAATGGTGGCGCCGATCACTTGGGCCGATGCTATCTCGGCAAAAGTCCATTTGGATGGGTTTTTGGTCTTGTTTGAAGGAACAAATGAACAAAGAGAACGCGCCTGAGTGCTTTGTCAAGCAATTCATCCAGTCAGAGTATGATAAACTAGGATTTACAGAGGTGCAAGCGGCATTTCTGGCAGGGTGTAAGTTTCCCTGTGTATCAAACACTACTTATAGAGAGCTAACTTGGCACGATTAGCGCTAATAGAAGCCGGTGCGGAATCCACTTCGGCGGCATTAAACAGTTGCATGCTCTATCTCTCAGGCTATCCCGAGGTTCAGCGACGTGCGCATGAAGAACTTGATGCAGTCGTAGGCAGTACGCGTTCTCCGACGTTCAGTGACATGGAAAATCTTCCCTACATCCGAGCTATCGCCAAGGAGATTCTGCGTATCCGTCCTCTTGCTAGCATGGGCATACCGCATTATGCCATAGCAGATGTCAATTACAAGGGATATACAATTCCCAAAGGCAGTGTTATCGCCATACAGCAATATGCCATCCACCACGATCCGAGCATTTTCCCAGACCCAGAGGTTTTTAAGCCGGAACGATATTTAGGCCATCCACACAGATCTGCTTTTTATGCAGCCTCCGCAAACCCACGTGAGCGTGACCACTGGAACTTTGGAGCTGGCCGCCGCATTTGCCCTGGTATGCATCTTGCAGAAAATAGCCTCTATATCACGATTGCCAAGATATTATGGGCATTTCAAGTGACGGCTCCTGGAAAAGTGGATCTGTCAGACAATGCTTATGAGCCTGGCTCGATGACTGTCGCAAAGCCATTCCTTGCGCAATTCATTCCGCGGAGTCAAGTCATTGAGAGAACTTTGAAGATGGAGTGGCAGAATGCAGAGCTCGAAAATGATATATCGTGAAGCATCGGAGTGCGTTTCACTTGAATGACTATTTGACGAGAACCTGGTACGGTAACAACGCTCCGCGCTGTCGTAAACAATTCTATCCTATGGGGTTGGGAAATTGATTTGTAGAATCCATTAGGCTTTTGGGATTTGGGGAAGCAGGGATCTGTATATAACCACGCACGGGCACGCATAGTGACCGGTAGCGCTCACCGTTACCTTGGGATGCACATTTTGGACCAGTTTTTCATCGCTTATCCGATATGGTGTAGTGGCTAACATCGTCGTCTCTCACACGACAGCCGGGGGTTCGATTCCCCCTATCGGAGTTTCTTTTTTGAACATTCCCGTCTCAAAGAATAGTTTTCGTTCAGGATCAAATCGCGTTTTTTTTAAAAAAAAATCTTTAGAACCAATTGATCAACATTGTTTGTTGTCTTCCCCGGATGCACAGTACCTAAGGGGTACCGAATAGGAAGGGGCCTATGACGTCACTTGGATCGCCCCCACACGGAACACGGACTGCGGATATATGTACACTTTGGACGATCATTCCGATTAAACAGTATAGTTTTTCATGGATTGTGACAATTTTAGAAAGATACCAGGTAGGGACAAGTAGGTAAAGAACCAAACAGGTCGGTGTTCGTGAATTTTTGTATTATTATGTATGTCCATTATATTTTCATCCTAGTCTAGGAAAACGGCCGTTCTCCACTCTTATTTACCGCGGGGAGGAGAACGGATATGGGATTCACGTGTCGGACGTTGGGAAGGCGTTGAGAGGGTATCAGGTTGTTAAACCCTCAGAGGTCCTGGGGCTTCTGGCATACAAGACCAGCACCACCCTAGATACTCGGTTAGATTTCGGCTCCAAAGAATATCCAGCAAATTGATACATACCAGGGGGATAAGACAGCACAGAGCAGTCTTCTTCTCTTCAGAGCAAGTGCTCTCGAAGGCTTCAAGGCTGGAGCCGGCGAGTCCACCCTTAGGAATGCTGCAGTCGAAGGCTGCGAGAGCGGCATCGACGGAGCAGCACTGAGGGTTGACGAAGTACTTGTCGGGGCAGTAAGCCGTCAGACCGGAGAGGGAAGAGGGCGAGACAGAGGGCCCGGCCGGCATAGGGCTCGCGGAGGCAGTCAAGGCGCTCAGGGCGAAGACGATGAAGCTGGGAGCGTACATTTTGAAGATTGGAAAGGACTGTGGTGAATTGGATCAATGAGAGACTGGGGTAAGAAGATTGAATGAATAACAAAGCGTCACTGGGGACCAAGGGCCTTTTTTAAATCTCAACGAGCAGATTGAAAAGATCTAATTGTGGAGAACAGCAGAGCATCGGATGCTCTTAGCTCCACTCCTTGCCTGTCGAGGTGATGATCTACAGAGCTAACAACACAATGGGATTGATCGGCAAGATTTCAGGTTCTTCGAATCGACCTAGCCTCACTCGACCCACCCAGATCGATCAATCATATTCTATTATTGGTCATGCTCAAATGACGATCAGCCGTGCAGCTGCCGACCTAAGGGATGAAGCTATTGAAATCTTTGTTTACTCTCACGTCTGTGGTTCTGCTCATTGTGTTCGATTAATCTGATCCACCGGAAATCGAGTTGATCATCATGTGCGGAGTACAAAGTACTCCGCAATTGTATCCAGGCAAAGAACTGCACTGTGAATATGGGTATTGCCTAGCACTGAAACTATCTGTAGAATGCACCCTGACCCGAGAAGGGTTCGAAGACTTCCACTAGAGATACAATTGGAGTCTACAAATACGGCTAGGCTCAGAGAAAATCTGCCGCCAAGACTGCCGCTACGTATTGCGAGAATTTCTCTATTTGTCTGGAGGACTCCGTGCCCTCTGCATTTGGATCCACACTGGGGTCCATGCTTCATGGCTAGACCTCTGCGACTCACCTTCGTAGCTGTGAGGTCACCGTTTTGATCCACACCAAGTCCTACTCGAGATACATTTTACGGAGTGCAACCCGGTAAATTATACTAATAACGTGCGCCTCAGCATACATAGCGTCTAAATTATCTCCTCCTGACCTTCCAGGTACCACATCAGGTGACAAATTACCCCGTACTTCGCAGGAGACTTGTCTTTCGGGTAGCGAACTGATCGACCTCTTGATGCCCGTGCACCAAGACAAGATCTTCAAAACAGAAGAAAACCCACGAAATGACCTAACATGCTACGGTAGACGCAGTACACATGAGTGCTGCAAAAGGTGACTGTGAAAAATTTCGGGTTGACCCGCTGCGACTTTGTCATGGCAAAAGAGCCATTCAATCAACGAGACTGAACACAGTGGTAAATTCAAAGGGTCCAGCCTCCAACCTGTGACCCTCAAAAGGACCAGGCCCACAACTGGCCGTACCAACTCCATGGTGAAGATAGTCAATATTGAGCTCCGTCTCGTTGTCCAATTCTGAGAGCTCATGTGGGTGTTTTGCACGGTCGAGCTCACTCATTGCATATTTACGCAAGGAGAAACTAAAGGGCGCATCCATCTTGACCTCAATCTGCGGGGACGGCAAGTCATTTACCACGCGCGTTGAGCGCAGGGCAGTTTGGGGCGACGAATGCACTCGCACCCAGCGCATATCTACGCGATTGCCATTCTCCTGGGGCCACTCGTATGGTGTCTCCAGCCCATCATCAATAGTGGCAGTGTATGTTCCAAAACGAGAACTGCTCTTTGTGTCTCGGTAGGACTCCCCGGGACCTCTGCCAAACCAGGTTGCCGCATCATAGTGGTGTGGGAGTCGGATTGTCAAACCAAGTCGAGGAATATATTTTGGATGTGAGCCGGTGGAATCTCCTTTGATGTGTAGCTGGATTGAACTCTCGGTGATGGTGTAAGTGAGAGTTGCTTCTATTGCCCATGCCAACACAGTGGGTGCAACTCTGACCTTGGTGGTTATCGAGATGCTTCCGTTGTCATTGAAACGCCCAGAAGCTGAGTCAATGAGCATGCGAGTACTTCTCACTCGGTAACGGTTCCACTCAACACCGGGTCCTTCCATGCCGAGGTCGTTTTGAGTCAGAGCACGATATATCCCTAGCAGTGGTCCACTGTGGAAAATCTTGCCCTTGTGCGCGGACCAAGAAAGATTACCTCTGACGAGATCATAAACGAATTGTGAACTAGAGTTATTCGAGGTGATATAGAGTCGACCTGATTGTTCCCCAACTTCCATTTTCGGTGTCACCGAGCGCAAAGGCGGAGGGATATTAAAATCCTCTGTTCTGTGCAACGGGATTTGCGCCCAGGCAATCTCGTGCCTCATCGGCGCCCATACTCGATCTTCCTTGAGGCAGAAATTGATAGTGAGCCATGTTGGCTTGGTGAGATTATCAATATTCAAAGGAAGGTCGAGTATCTTGGTCTGCCCGGGCTCAATGCGTGGAAGAACCCATCCTTGTGGCTCAGTGTTGCCGGAGTCATCAACGAGATGCCATGAGGCGGAAAGGTGATCCAGTGTGCTGAAGTCATAGTGATTTACAACTTTGAGGCCGTTCGAGACCTGCGAAACGGAGACTGGCTCGATCACCTTTTTGTACTCGATTAGTCCTGGACTTGGCGTGTGGTCGGAGAATACCAGCCCGTCGAGAATGAAGTCAGCATCATTTGGTTCATCGCCATAATCACCACCGTATGCGTAGTACGATAGATCACCCTCTCTCTTCAGCAGACCGTGGTTGCACCATTCCCAGATGAAGCCACCCTGGAGCAATCGCTCTGTGCGATATGCCTCGATGTATTCTTTTAGTCCCCCTGGGCCGTTACCCACTAGAGTGATCCGTCAGAGAGTCCTCAGGTGAATATTCAATGGGATTTGAGTCGAAACTTACTGGCATGACCATATTCGCACTGAATCAGAGGTTTGTCAGTTTTCTCAGTGACATGCTTCTTGATTGCATCAATTGTCCAATACATGGTGGAGTAAAGATCTGCACTAAGAGCCTCCCGATCGCCCTCATAGTGAACCAGGCGGGTCGGATCAGCGTTCTTGATCCACTCATACATACTGACATGGTTTCGACCATAAAACGCCTCATTCCCGAGAGACCACATTATAATGCAAGGGAAGTTTCTGAATCTCTCAACTAGCTCAACCGCACGATCAAGGTAAGCATCCTTCCATTCTGGGTTGTCGGAAGTCCACTTCTTTGCCAATTCATAGGAAGCTTCTTGTATCTCGTGCTCGGTCATGAGATGTTGATTTGGAATGTTGAATCGCTCAATGGGATCGAATCCGTGGGCCTCGAGATCCGCCTCGGCCATGACGTACAGGCCGAGCTCGTCGCAAACTTCGTATAAGCGGGGATCGTTCGGCTGGTGGGAACATCGCAGGGCATTTATATTGTGCCTCTTCATCATGATCAGGTCCGCACGCATACTTTCATATGGTACTGCCCGGCCGTGGAGATGGTGATGCTCATGTCGATTGACGCCGTAGAGAATGATCGGCTTCCCATTGACCAAAAAGTTTGAATCTTTCATTTCAATTCGCCTGAATCCAACGCGGTGAGGTATGGTTCGGTTGTTAAAGGTGATCAATAGTGTATATAGGATAGGATCCTCAGCAGACCATAGTCGCAGGTCTGTTCCCGATATTCGAATGGTGTTCTCGTCGGTGGACTGGAATGTGGCATTGTGCATCAGTGTACCACTTGGGTTGTATAATTTGACCTCGACGCTTCCGTGGACCCCCTGAACTTTCACTTTTGTGGTGAGAGTTCCGACCGAGAGATCTGGACTGAGAGTTGCAACAGCTTTGAAGTTTATCACAGCATCTTGCGGAAAAGCCAGTAAGCCCACATCCCGGAAAATGCCACTCAGGAGCCACTGGTCCTGTCGTTCGATGTAAGATCCATCACAGAACTCATAAACACGAACTGCAATCGTGTTCACAGCGTCCGTGGGTAGTAAAAATGGGGTGATGTCAAACTCTGCCGGGTTGCGCGAGCCTTGGGAGTAGCCAATCTGCTCTCCATTGATCCACACATGGAACGCGCTATCCACACCTTCGAATCGAAGTCGGATCTGCTGGTTGTTCCATTTGGACAGCGTAGTGAACTCCCGCCAGTATGATCCGGTTTCGTTAAGAACTGGAACTTGGGGAGGGTTGACGTGGAATGGGTAGTTGACATTGGTGTAGGTTGGATGTGAGTATCCCTGCAGTTGCCACATTCCTGGGACTTGGATATCATTCCAGCTTAGTGGATCAGTTGATGTCCAGTCGGGTGCCTCCAAAGGAGACTCATCGTGGCGGAACTTCCATGTGCCGTTGAGTGAGAGGTATTCACTCTGATTTCGATCCCGGGAAAAAGCCTTTTCTTCGGAGATATACTGATAGAAGTGCGCTCGTGGTGGAAGCGTACCCTTATGGATCACTTTGAGGTTATTCCAATCTGGAACAGCAGCAGGAGACGACATGGCCAGAAGCTTTCAACGGTGTGTGAAGGTGAACCTAACTCAAGCCAGGAGAGGGGTACAACATACGGAAACTCCGGCGGGGCTGCAACTCATTAGATCCTCGACGACCATTAATCCGGACATGGAAGTTCCAAGGCTGTACTTTGTACTTCGTAGGTGGGGTATTGGGTTAGTAGATCGCAGGATTGTGGAGACCGGGTAAAGATCTACTGTCTACTCCGGGTAAATTAGGTCTCGGGGAGAATGCCGAGACGTGCGAAGAGTCATGGTTTTTAGGGCAAGTCCGCCTTGCACTCCGTAAAAAGTAGGATGAAACTCAACAGTAAAGCTCTTTCTATCTTCTCTAATATCAAAGTCTACCAGTGAATGCTTGTGTGCGTACCCCTCTTTCCTCGCTGCGCTTCTTTCCCCCAGCTTACCCGAAACCTCTCATCATACTGACCGAGAACATCTGAAAGGCGTTTTCATCCCCCAATAAAGCGGTAAGGTCTTGCCGAGTTGGCAGCATCAACAAGTATAATCAAACTCGAACGATATCTTCGGAACTCCGCTGAATGAAGACGGGACAACATAGGATATGTTGTAAACACGATTATCTCCCACCGTTGCACCATACAAGACGGGTTGCTTCTCCAGTCCCTCGGCATCAATACTCAAATTGAGACATGGCAGATCTTCCAGTCCACGAACAACCTTCTTTTCGATCAGTGTCCAACTTGGCGGCAGCTGTGCAAGGACAAACGTAAAGATATCGGTTCCCTCTTGGGTTCTGTTGGGATAAGATACCTCAAGGCTGTTAGGCCCGGCAATAGCATCAATGGTCGATGCTGTAGGATACAGACTGAACAAGGCCATGTATGGGCGGGGTCCACGAGTCTTGTCACCAGCCCACTGGACAATAGCAGGCACATATTGCTTCCCTCGATTCACAGTCTCCGCCACCTGCTGGGCACCAATCATCAAAGAAGCAGTGATCCATGAGGTGGTGACTCGCACATCAGCGTCGGCACCAAGACCATCGGGGACCTTCTTGGTGATCATTCGCTCCCCGTCCCACGAATCCTTCGATCCAAGCCAAGTCAAATCGTCTTCCGAGATATTCTCCGCCACAACATCCATAACGAGAGCCAGTGCTGCGCCTTGTGCAACATCGAACAACAGGTCTGCTTCCAGTTTGTTGGGCTGAGGTCCCACGCCGTACCCGAAAAGACCCCACCAGAAGTAATCAATCACAGCGGAGTTGGAGACGATATCTCGTGTGTAGGCCCGGTCGTACTGTTTGATATATCTAGTCAGCTAAGTCATCGAGTTTGTGATTTAGAGGAAATCATACCGGTCCCACCATGTTGCCGAGGTATGGGTTATAATGAGCAGCTATATCTGCCCACAGTTCCTTCAGCATAAACTGAGAATTCTTCGTCATGGTGGAATTCTTGGGGCCGTATTTGAGGGCGCCTGCCAGAGCCCATGTATCCATTCCATAGTAGGTCGGTGCGTTATACTCGGAGAGAACGTTGGAACCTGTGGATTCGAAAAGCTCGAGTACAAGGTCTCCTTGCTCGTTGGCATAATCAATGAAAGTCTTGACAGTCAGCTTTTGCACGCACCAAATGTATCTTGAGATGCTTGCATACCTGATTATCCCGCCGCTCGCCAATCCAAGAAACAAACCACGCGCGCATGATGGCAGGGTTGGAGTACCCAGGTGTCAGATTGTCACCCTCCGGATAGGACCCATTGCGTCGCATAGATCCCACAGCTGCAATTTCAAGGCTGTCCTCGATCTGCGACACCAAGGAGTCACCCAGTAGATCAGAGAACTCCTCGACGATTTGTACCAGTTGTGTGCCGATAAACTCTCTCCAGTTCGGGTCGTAAGTGGTCTGTCGTCATCATGTCAGTTAGCTGAAGCTTTCTTTTGCCTCTCGCAGAGAGCTCACATATATCTCCGGGGGATACAACTCTGAGTCGGGTGTCGGGTATGGTTCATCGGGCGAAAGTTTGAAAGTGCCATACCAAGCAGACTCATAACTCTCAGTCATCTGACAACTCAGACTGTTGAAATACCGTCAGCGACTTATCCGATGAAAGTGAGTGAGAGATTCTCAATACATATTTTCAATGGCCGCTTTTGCATTGATCAAATCCTCTCCTTCGTTGCGGTAGAGGAGACCTGCAGTATACCATGCCGTGAACCGGGTCGACCAAGGACCCTTGTCAGAGTACCAAATGTATTTGTAGGAGTTATCCCAGCGATTGCCATTGGCAAACATCGACCAGTCAAAAAGGTCTTGCGCATCTGCGAGAACTGGATCAGTGGACATTGCCTTCAAGATTCCAAGATAAGCATGGGATTTAATCATACTCTGGGTCAAAGATTTTGTAATTTGCGCAGCAGAGGTACCGATGCTAAAAGTAGTACTGAGAACTGCATAGTAAACGAGGTTTTGGAATTTCATTTTCCTAGATCGAAGACAAGACATATTGCGGAACACACCTCGCTTTGGTTATGGCGAATTTATGCTTTGGACCGTTGAATCCATACCCCGCAGAATGGGAATAGAAGTGTATTTATTGTGTTGACTGCAGACACTCGGGCATGTCTGCGGGTTGATTAGACACGCGCTATTGGTTGGCTATACCCCGGCTATTTGGGGGTGTCCGGGGGCAGCCACCGGTGGCCGGGGTGATGTGCGGAGAAAGAACATTCAACGCCAAGCGATTACCCGGCTACAGCCTCTGAGCTATTTAACATCGAAATATGTCTGAAGTACCTAAGGCTCTCTGAGGTTTGTTCCCCGCATTCCTAAGCGGGTGGATTTTATTCCTCCGGCACAACTGTAATTTTCCCGCGGCCCAAGGCCTTTTTCTACCAAGGCTCCAAGGCTGATATAGATGTACTGGAGTAGCGAGTCTTCTTTCAATTATTGAATGCAATATATAGTGCCCAACTATTTGCGCAGCTTTCACTGGATCTATACATTTTGAGGATTCGAGATTGTTTGCTATGTTTGCATGCTTGCTTGCTCCCACTGCTTTAGAAAGTTCGGTCTCCTCCGGTCCTCTCTTCTAAAAGCAATCGCCTGAAATACACGTATTGTCTTCCGAAAGAAGGGGGAATAAAATATGGGAGCTGCCAAGTGACTTTGTTGCCCCCGTCAGTTAACTCAAACGCAACATCGACGTCAGTTGACGTATGGCAATGTCAATAATCCCCCGCTGCGCAACACTGAACCCTGCCCGGCTCTTGGCCAAAAGTGTGAGTGATTTGATTCTGAACATTATTCGCCGATCGCATCTACCATAAGGCAGAGGGAATATCTCCAAGCGGAAACACAGCGATATGAGCGATCGGTCTGACATGGCCAGTATCCAGCAGCCCAAAGAGCTGCGCGAGGAGTCGGTGGATGAGCGCTTGTGAGTTCTTGTGCGACATGTCAAAGCACCGATGATACAGTCCAAGCAAAGGGCTCCATTTTGAGGGTGATACAGTCGAGCATGTCCCTCTTGCCCAGCTCGACCATTGGTCCGCTGCTAGCAACACGGCTCCATGACTCGTCGAGCAGATCACCGGTCAGGAGGTTAAAGCTCACTTTCACATCACAACCGCCGGTGACCCGCATCAGCTCCGAAGCGAACGTAATGTCCCGCATGCTGAAAGTGTGATCCGCAGAAATATTGAAATCCTTCGTTAACAAGCCACGCTTCTCCTTTTTCCGACCGTGGCGAAAACCCCTTCGCCGAGGCGCTGGCAAATAAAGGTCAACCCCATTCCCAGCGCAACTTTCGCAGAGTGGATCAGAGCACGATGGCCGGGCTGGATGTTGGCAACATTCAAGATGCTCTATAGGGCAATCATATATACAGTGACCGGAGTAGAAGCTCCCTAGTAGGCCATCGAATCTGGCATTGCCTGAACTAGCTCGGTGTTGGCGTGGATTCGATCTTCAAAAGTGTCTCGTTCGCGCTGAGTCTGGGAAAACAGCTCATCGATAAAGGCCGAGTCTTGGGTTTGAGTCTCATTTGGGCTGAGCCGGGTTATTGCTCTTGAGATCATGTCATCTCCAATTAATGCAGCGCAACCTCGGGGCCTTGGAAGAGCCGAAGGCTTAGAAATCAGCAGCATAAGCACTAGTTCAAAGATGACAGCTAAGCAATAGATAGCGTGCATTAGTTCCGGTATCTCTTTCGTATTCTCCTTTCCTCCTCTCTTCCTCCTAATAGATGTGCTCCTCCATTATACTCCATTAATTTCACCTGGGCACACGAAGTGTAACAGACTGTAACCTACTGTTATTGGTGTGGGGCCAATTACGGGTCTAAGATTAAGATTGCGGCTTCCGAACCTTGGAACTGACCGGTCCCGGAACTCTACTCCTCCGCTATGTTTTGATCTCTTTATCTTTGCGTGATATCTATGGAAATTTCGTACTAATACATGTTGCATTTGTCAGATACAAATCACATTTGTAAACCCTATGGTGCCACTAGAAATCGGAGCCTATCGTCAGCACATTTAAGTGGCCCTCCATGTCCATCTCAAGCTCCCCATTCCAACGAGCAAGCTCACTATCACTACAATGACTAGCAAAATCTACCTTATCACTGGTGCCAGTCGCGGTATCGGCCGCGGTCTGGTTGAGAAGTTCCTCGCTCGCTCCAACACTACCGTTGTCGCCGCCGTCCGCGATCCCGCCACTACTTCATCCCAGTCACTCCAATCGCTCCCTAAGGGCGAGGCCTCTAACCTTATCGTCGTGAAGATCGACTCAAAGTCCCAAACTGACCCGGCTGGTGCTGTCGAGACCCTCAAGACGGAACATGGCATTGATCACCTCGACGTGGTAATCGCCAATGCCGGCATTAGCGATAATTTCTCGACCGTCCACGAGGTTCCGATACCGGTTATCCAACAGCACATCGAGATCAATGCTTACGGGCCCATCTCTCTCTATCAAGCTGTGTACCCGCTGCTAAAGAAAAGCACAAAGCCCACATTTGTGGGAGTCACTAGTCTGATGGGCACCATCGGTGGAATGGAGCAACGTCCTTACCCGATGGCAGCTTATGGTCCTAGCAAGGCCATTCTCAACTGGATTGGGCGCAAAATTCATCTTGAGAACGAGGACTTCGTTAGCTTTGTCTTGGATCCTGGGTAGGTCTCTCTAATTGTGGTCTTGTACAAATATTGATGAATGTGCAGATTCGTCCAGACCGAGATGGGTAACTCCGGAGCCCGGGCTGTTGGTCTCGAGAAGGCTTTCTTGACGGTAGAGGAAAGCGTTAGCGGTATCGTGAAGACGATTGATGAGGGGACAAGGGAGTCGGTTGGTGGGCAGTTCCGCGTGTGGGATGGATCCCAATTTCCTTGGTAGAGGGGTTTCAACGTTGGACAAGAGAAAAGGATTTGAGTCACAGTGACACAACTCTTATACTTTGGTCCCACGATTCAAACATCGATCACTCCTAGCAAGTCCCGGTGTTGTCGCTGTCAATATACAACGGAAAGAAACCTCGGAATACACTTGCCTGAAATTACTTCTTTTGTAAGTCCTCCAACTAAAAAAAGATAAAGGTAACAATTGATGGCTGGAATTTGAGTCTGAAATTGGGGACAGGATCTTCTCAGAAAAGAGGCTAGGGCAATAGAGCTTTTTCACATTGCACTTGGTTAAGAAAAAGAGCAGAAGAGACAAGATAAGTGACAAGTGTTGTGTAGGGAGTTCGTCCCAACCCCCATGTGTAGATACATCCTCCCCGACTCTATCTCTTCTTCCTCTTCTCTCTCTATCTCTCTCTCTCTCTGAGCAGTGTATTCAGTCGGTTCCCTCCGTTCCTTTCTTTCTTACCGATAGGTCTCAACAACAAAAAGATTCACTCCGTATGGAAATGGCAGATCTGAAACCACATATGAGTGAGCCAACAGGATGATAAAACTTGACATTACTTTTCACCACTGAGCAGCGTCTACAGGGCGAGAAGGCGCTCCCACAGCGCGGTCTGCAACGCCGCAAGATCGGTATATGCTGCGTGTGCATTTATTGTATGCTTAGAACTCGAGTCCACAACGGAGGACTGCCTTCACTCATCAGTTGAGCTCTCTATACCTCAGTTGCCCAGAGAAATTTTAACAACCAGCTTGTTTCTTGCTTGGCTATCTACGCAAATTGCGTCTCGCAGGCATCAATCTTCGTCGCCGATGCTACCGAGATCAATAATGCGATTCCGCCTTCTAAGTTGCCAGGTGTATTGCGCGTTCAATTGAAGCGCATTCAGATGTCGTGCACATTGGGGGTAGCGCTTGGCGGGGCTGTGGCATTCGCCAGCAGGGTTTCTGTGAGAACGCCGGGGATTACACATGTGGTTGGCGCAGTGGGTTGATTGATAAAAAGGTGACTTTTACTGATGATGAAGAGAAGTCTACATTGGTTATCTCCACGGCCGGTTGAGGTTTGACTGAGATCTCTCGTTGCCAAGGTCGGCTAGGAACTAGGAAGCGGAGAACATGTTGATGAAGCTCGGCAGGACCGTGGATTAAGCCAAAAGTCCTTTCACCATCGCTTAGAAGCCAAGGATTGTGTCCTCTTGCCACGTGGGCTGCTTGGTGCCGTTGCATTGGGCTACTCAGGGGACACCCGGCGCTAAACATTAGGGCCCTCCGTGGTGCAGCCACACCAATTACCACCATATGGTCGGTTATTTCTTTTAATATATCGTGAGTGATATAAAGGGTAGCATCGACATCCGCATTTTCTTTTTTTTTCTTTCTATTCACTGGTCTCGGGCATCACTCGCATTCGTCGTTGACATGGGGAAACAATGGATGCTATATGCCCTCGGAGGTATTGCCTCGTTAGGCTTGTGCCAATCTTTAGCTCCGGCAAATGACATTGTGTTCCCATCATCGAAGACCTCATCGAATCCACTCATATATGCAGGTGGCAATACACCGTATTTTGCAGGTATGACTGCAATCAACATGAAGTTCGCTGTACTAACCCATCACCAGGCCCAAATGTGAATGGGATTGATAGCGAAGTTCCGGCAAAGTGTACCGTGAGGCAGGCCGCTTATGTCGTTCGGCACGGCAGTAGGTGTGTATGCCTTCAATCTTATGCCACGGATCAATTTAACCTGAAAATGTTAGATTCCCAGACACTGGCTCGTATAATTCCTGGGTTGCGCTTCACGACAAGGTATGCATACCCATGAGATAATACTAGGTTCGGCTCTTACGCTCACTCTTCGGTATACAGATTCAGGCTGCAGCACAAGGAGATGGTTTTGATCCCCAAGGGTCGCTCAAATTCATCACTGAATGGAAGCCAGTATTGACAAATCCTTCTTTGCAACTTGCGCAAGAGTCGATGACCGGATGGAAGGAGGTAAACAGTACTCTTTTTCATTGTTTTGCAACTTGCTGATCAACCACAGGCAAGCGATCTTGGTTACCAACTGCGGTCCAGATGTGCGCTATGATCTTAAAACCAGTACTTATTACGTGCACTAATGAATTTCGATAGATCCTGATTTCTACCAGGATGGCACTCCGTTCTACGTCTGGGCCAACCAGTACAAATCCCCAATCAATGAGTCGCGGGTGGTTCAGACTGCAAGAGCATTCATCAATGGTTACTTGTATGAGTATGCTGATACTTACGGTACTATTGTGAGCGTGAATTCGACAGGATCACCCAAAGCCATTGGTAACTCTCTCGGACCGTCTGATTCATGTCCCGCATTCGGCGCCATCTCTAGTGGAGGTGACAATGTGACCAACTGTGAGTGAAACTGGCAATTTATGCACTTGTGAGACATGTCAACGTGCTCCAGTGTTAACACATAAGCAGGGCAGGCTACCTGGCTCCCCAAGGCTACGCACCGCATCAACTCTCTTATCAAGGGAAACCTCACTTTCGACGAGAGCGAAGTACTATTCTTCCCCTATATCTGTGCATATGAGAGCCAGATAATAGGCCGTATAAGCCCCTGGTGTGACGTTTTCAAAAAGCATGAGCTTCGCGACTACGCATACTCCCAGGACTTGAGCTACTTTTATGGCGTCGGGCCTGGCTCAATTGGTCCAGCGAAGGTGCTTTTCCTCCCATTTATCAAAAGCCTGCTTTCGACTCTGGAATCAGGTCCTGGAAAATCGGGCGTTGGGCCTGATGGCACTCAATTCGAAATTCCAAGTCTCATCATGGCGTTCTTGAATGACAATCAAATTGCCGAGATGACTGCTGCTATGGGAATATTCGATTCTGAGGAATCGCTTCCAGATGATCACATTCCAGCTCATCATCTGTACAATGTGGCCAACTTTGTCACTATGCGTGGTACTGTTGCTTTCGAAGTTCTTGATTGTGATGGCAAGAATGGTCCGTACATTCGTGTCTTGTTTAATGACGCTGTTTACCCCATCAGCAGTTGTCAAAATGGCCCTGGAAAAAGTTGCGCCTTGACTGATTACATCTCCTTAATTGACGAGAAGATCCAGAAGGCGGGCAACTTCTTTGATTACTGCAACGTCACCGACTCTGATCACCCCGAAATAGCCGCTGGTGCTAGCTTCTTCCAAGATCTTTCCCTAGATTTCTTGACTTTTGTGAAGCCTTGACAAGGACTTGCTTTGATTTTTGTTTCAAATTTGGTGACCATTTGGTTATGACGTCATTCTCCTTATCTCAATACAACAGCTATATCCCTTTCAACACCAGCATGAAACTACGTATCAGAGTATAAGAGAATGATTATCACCATTTTTCCCAAAAAAAGGTTGACTCTGTAACTGCATCACATCATTGTACATTCAAGTTGTCGAAATACAGGATGACTTAACACCAAAGTTCCCAGCCTGTCTATTTGGCGAAACGGATGTCGTTTTCCGGGCCCATTGTATAGATACATGTTGGAGAATAACTCGCCTTGGTGTTGTGTTAGAGAAGACCAATATTGATCCAGACTTGACCCAGAAGGCCGTGATATTTGAACTCAGAGCCCCTTTCTGGGCTTCAAGCAGCTTACTTGAAAGGTTGATCAGTTCACCAAGGCACAGTCCGACCAAGGTAGTCGAGGTATTCAAGTCCAGGCCTTTCTCTCTTTTTCAAAAGTACAGAAACCAAGCTGGGAATGCTTTCTCCAATAGTAAGCCGAGCATCCGGACCCCCCAACTCGGTCTTAACCCACCCCGGAGCCATGGCCACCATCGGGCGCGACGGGGCCTGACGCGCCGCAAAGCTCCGCATATACATGTTAAGCGCAGCTTTGGTGCCACGATATACCTCTCGCTGGCCCGTTTCGTTATTGCTTATGCTTCCTTGTCCAGATGACATGACGCCGATGAGACCGTCGGGGATGACATGATGTGCCAGCTTGTCAAGGACGCGCATGGGGCTGAGCGCATTCGTGACCATGACATGGATGAACTCGTCGGTTGACACCTCTCCAATCTTTTGAGTCTGGTCATGGTTTGTTGTGCCGGCATTCACAAAGAGGGCGTCAAATGTCTTCCCAGAGAGACGTTTGTCCAGCGCGTCGATTTGATCGGGTTGGCAAATATCCAAAGTCTCAATTTCGACGCGGCCGTTGTACTTGTCCGCCAAGTCGTGAAGTAATGTTCGTGACTCTCCGCGGACTGTGCCGGTAACGTCCCAACCCCTTTCTAGGAAGTCGGCCGCCATAGCATGACCAAGGCCACGCGAGGCGCCAATGAGAAGGATTGTGGGTGAGGGAGACATGATGGGTGAATTGAGATAGATATGAGCAATTTTGAAAAAAAAAAGGGCACTGGGTGTCCTATTTAACCCCCAAAGTCAGCTCGGCATTTCGCGCTTATCTCCGAGATTCCCTTTGGGGAAGTCGGTGTTTGTGCGGCGCGACAAGTGAAGTCTCTCGGAAAACGATTTCATTCACTGTATACCACTTTGGATTGAGCGGAGACTGCAAGGCCATCGTAATAGTGAAAATGCTTTTCAAGAATCAAGGCTTCCGCAAGGGACTAGTGGGCGCTGGACCCCACCAAGCCCAACACAGTGGACTCCGGGCGTCTTTGTTATATTGACTATTCCTAACGATAAAGGCGGCAGAACTGAGGATCGGAATTCAAAATCGACCATAATGGCTCACTCAGCGCCAATTTGACATCTATCGCTCGTGGCACCGAATTCCAATGATGAGCACACAGTCACTTGAACCAAGTCAATGGGCGGGTCGCTCCCGCGGTACTACTCCCGATTCCAGGGGATCTTAAACGCAGGTTCCAAAGTTGCTAATAGAATCAATCCTATCACCGATGCTCATTTTGTATGACGACACCGAATGCGGAACTTGTAATCAATAAATCACCAACATCTCAGCACAGACTCTTTTCTTCTTCAACATCATCTGATATCCAAACATCAGATCAAGTTTCTCGGTCTACTTGTTTTTACATCTCCAAATGAGCCCAGTTTCCAGCCTCGTACTCAACATCATGGTTTACCTCGCAGACTGGAATGTCACTATTCGAAAGTCCACCCTTTAGACTGCTTCGTACTTCTTGGCAGAAACTGTCAGAGTGTCCCGCTATACCTTACTTGAGAGAACGCAGCTTGCTTTGCTTGAGAGAACGCAACTTACAGAAGATCTGCGAGTACCTCTCACCGGTCGACCAAGTTTGCCTATCCCTGACCTGCAAACAGCTTTTTGATCTATTCGGGACAAAATCAAAGGACATGAAATTGCGTTTCCACGCCTCTTGCGGGTGAGAAATCCAATATTCTGTGTGAACACTGAGTTTGTGGCACGGAATAAACTCCTTCTTCGACTCGAAAATAACCGTTGGGCCTACTGTGCAAACTGTTTGAAGCTGTTGAGAGAGCACAGCGAGAGAAAGAACCGATTGTATTGACTGATCAGGGAGAGAAGAGGGAAGGAGAGAAAGCCTATGGAAGAAGGGTTTATCTACAGCAAACAAGGGTTGGGGCAAACACCCATCTCAACACACCCCCTGAGACACAACCCACAAAAGCACCCCCAAAAGCACCCCCCAAATCAACCTCTGATTCTCAAAATATCCCGTTTCCGGCTTTTTTTGACGTTTTTGTGGTTCATCATCGTAGAATTCACCATTCCCCCCCCCCCCCCCCCCCCCCCCCCCCCCCCTCCCCCCCCCCCCCCCCCCCCCCCCCCCCCCCACATCACCCCTCCACCCGACAACCACAAAACACGCTATCTC